GTACATCACTTTGGCCCTCAATCTTTGTTCTTCTGAAAAGCCCTTTTTTCACATTTCTCTCAGCGCACATCTCTTTATTATTTAATCTCTCTTATTTTTTATCCTTTCCCAGGTGTGGTTGATAGATAAGTTGGAAGTTGTGGACCTTATGAGGGGGGGCCAAATATCCAGCTTTATTTCTAGTGCTTCGCACTTGGTTCGATACCTCATTGCTTGGAGGATGAGAGAGTTTTTGGTGCCTATGGCTAGCTTCAGTTGTGCTCTCCCTTGCGAGTGCGTTGATAATGGGGAAAAGACAGAAAACCTGACTCGACTGTGCCCCTAGTTAATCGCTTTGACTATATTTTGTGTTTTTGGCTTCTGCTAAAATAATTTTGACCAACATGAGAGTTAGATTAACATGTCTGTTCGACTTTCTGCTTTGAAATCATGTAAGTCAGGCTATGAGCACTAAAATTTTTCCTTTTTTAGGTCCAAGAAATGGTTCGAATTTTGAAAAATGGAATAATTTCGTAGAGAATTAGTCAACTTTACTAAAAATCCTCAAAAACTATGTTTGCAAATAGCCACTGCTCAACCAACATGGAATTAACTCTTAAGAAGCGCAACATCAGATCTGAACTTGAATTGTCTTGCAGTTGAATCCTTTAATGGAATAGGACACCCGATTTTGAATGAAGATGAGCACGATGATGAGCCAATTTGCACATGGATAGGATAACTGAGTTTAAATAAGGAGAAACCAATCAACATAGAAGAGACAAGAAGGTTGAAAATGGTTGGGGCTGAACTTCATGATGAAGTTGCCTATGAATCCCAAAGATGGGAATCAGGCCGTACGTAATTCTCAGGTTAAGGTGCACTCGAGTATTAATACTCTCCTTTTGCACTCTAACTTTTGCTAGAGCTGCATTTTCAGGTTTTCAACCTTGCGAGCTATATTTTTTCCCTTTTCATTTTTCTTTCTTCTTCTTTTTCTTTTCTTTGTTTCCATTTTTTCCATTTTTGTTCTTTTTCTTTTTTTTCTTACTTTAACTTTTGCCTGGGTCGCCCTTCCGAGTTTTCAGCCTAGCGAGCCTCTCAAGGATACAAAAGTTAATTTGTCCATGTTGATTGGTCGTAGGATCTCTAAGCCATCCATTTGAATCCACGAAAATGACTGTTATTCCTAACTAATAGTCTTAATGATGTAAGAGCCCATCCAATTAGGTCTAAATTTGCCCCTAGTGTCGTGGATAGGAAGTCGATTGTCCTTCAGTAAATTTTTTTTGGCTTTCTTGCTAGTCTCCATTGGTTCAAGAAATGACCCAGGCATGTCTCGAGGCCGAGAGTGATCCTATGTTGTACAATCTTAAGATCAATTCCAGGCATGTCTTCATAGGACCACATAAAACATTTTTTGAAATCTTTTAATAAAGCGACTCATCACTCGTGCTCCTTTGAAGACAATGAAGAACCAATCTGGATTAAGCCAAGATCCTTCTCAGTTCCCACATTGACATACATGATCTCATTCATTAAGGGCTTTAGCATTCCTCTCAGTCGATCAAATTTTGCAAATCCCGAGGAATTCCTCCCTCTTTGTTTTCATCATAGTGTTAGAAAAGTTTTGAAAAACTTTAGTCAATGCAATGATTTAAAGGCACAGAGAAGTAAGTGGAAATTACTGTCATTTCTTTCAGATCATCTTCTGGCTCAACTGGCTCAATGATAGAAACAGACTCAAAAGAAAAAGTTAAAAGACAAACAAAGACAAACAAGGAAGTGATATCCAAGTTAACATGCTCGAAATCACCTAACCCTAACACAACAAGACTAACTCAATACCCAAGTCCGAAAATAAAATAAACAGAATTTTCAAAGTGCTAAAACAGTGCGTGCCATCCATACATTTGGAGTAAAATGAGCACCATAAACAGGTGGTTTATCCCCGATCACATAGTCACATTATCTCCCAAGTTCATCGATCCAGCGTTGATAGACTTTGTAGGACCTGGTGGAGTGATGACCTTATTGTCAATCAGATCTTGTACTTTATGGCGAAGGTGAAAACATCAGTCAATGTCATGGCTGGTTTGTTGATGGAAGGAACAGTACTTGGCAACGTTATACTTGGCTGGAAGGGGATTAGGGAGAGGCCGAGGGTCAAGGGGTTTGAGATGGCCTTGTCCTTTGAGGATTTGGAGAGCTTTAGATAAGGTCACGAAAAGGGGATTGAAGGTGCGGTTACCAGTCCTACAAATATTGACAGAAGGGTCAGCAGGTGTTGACTGGGTTTGATGATCTCTTACGAGTGTAGGATTAAAGCTGAAATGGCTGTTTCCAGTATGGCATCCCTTTTCCTGGCTTGCCCCTTAATTCAAAATGCTTTCAACTTGAGTGACGAAAGTGTCATTTATAGTCTTTGTAACAACTGCAAGCACTGGCTGCTTGTTCAGCCCTTGGACCTTTAAAGTCTTAATAGCACACCAGAGATGTGCTGCAGGATCGATACTTGCCCCGGCCTTGTTCTTGCCCCTTACTTCAGCTTTGCCAAGGGATTGGGTGGCTATATCGAAGCGAGGCCCATTCATTGTTGACATGTCATTACCCAGACTTGAGATAGCTTGGGGTTGGCCCTTTCCAACTGTAGCTCGTCCCAAGATTGGAGAGCCTTTTGACGTGAAATTCCTGGCATGTGATGTGGTCAATAATGGAACCAAGATCCTGAAGGATAAATCTGCCACAGTTCTCTGAAGATCTTCAATCATGCTCAATAGCTCAGAAGTAAGTGGGCTCGACCATTGTTGCCCGTGGTGTATTTGATCGGGTTCAAGATGATTGGGGTTCAAGTGCGTCCATCATATACAAATTCGTGCTTTTTGAAATGAACACCTCAAGCTTGGGTAAATGAGTTGGGATGATTGTTTTCCAAATTTTTAATCAAATTCTTATTTCAACCTATTTTAATTATAAAAAAAAATTAAAATCTGAAACTAACCCCAGAAAGTAAAAAATTGTTATATGTTATTTTTGGGGTACCTATTGAATCTTGAAAGTAAAAAAATTAATTCAAATATTAAAAAATTACCAAAAACTATGGAAAATAAAAAATTCAAACATCTACTTCAATCACAAAGTCCAACAAAATGATTATTTTTAAACCTATCAGAACATCATAATCACTACAAGAATTAACACTTTTGGCAACAAAAAAATTGGTCGCTAAAAGTCAATTTTTGGTCGGCAAAAGTTAACCGCGACCAATTTTTTTGGTCGCTACTTTGGTCACCAATTGAGGGTCGGCAAAAGTAATTCGCGACCAAAATTTTGGTTGGTCGGGAAAAATTAAATTTGCCGACTAAATTTTTGGTCGCTAAATATTTAATTACCGCGACTAATTCATTTTGTCGCTAAAATACTTTGGTCGCAAAAAGTGATATTTTCCCGGCCAAATATCTTAGTCGCCAATTGACACATTTCGCGACCAAAAAATTTGGTCGCCAATTATCACATTCAACGACCAAAAAATTTGGTCGCCATTTGTTACTTTTCGCGACCAAAACTTTTGGTCGGCAAAAGTGAGTTTCCACGACCAAGAGCTGTTTTGGTCGGCAATAGATGTATTTTTTGCGACCAAAACTCTTGGTCGGCAATTGTCATTATTTGCGAAAAAAATTATTTATTTGTCGCGACTAATAAATTTGTCGCCAAAGTAGGAAAACAATACACCTGTAGTTCCTAATAATTCATTCAATCCATAGTAAACCTATAATTTTAAAACATCATTCAAATTAACTGAATCATTAACATTCGACACAATACATAATTCATTAACATTCAACACAATACAACTATTCTAAGTTTTCATTCACAAGTCACATCCATCTAGCATAACAAATTGAAACAATACATAATTCAAATTTACAGCATCAGGAAAATTGCTTAATCCACTAAGTTGCCTTGATAGCCAATCAAAAAGATCCTTGCGCCCTTCCGTGCCAAGCTTCGCATCCATCAAAGCAGTAGTGATGTAAGGCACCTAATAAAGAAACAAAATTGGAAAATTTATCAGAGAAGCATGATAGTGGCAGCAACACTGGATTGCAAACCCGTATCTTTGCAAAAATCAATTAAATCCTATAAACATGTACATCGAATTGAGACAACTAGCTAGGGGTGGGCGCGGATCGATTGCGGCCACGGAACCTCTAATCCGCCATCCGTCC